TCCCAATTGTGACAAATGTTTGCCTTTGCCTCCCTCCTTTTATTTTCTCTCTCACACACTTGATAATTGTCCAAGTTTGGAGAGGACTAAGTCAAAATGAAAGTTTCAAATCCAAGCCACTGCACAGAAAGTTGAGCACTGAAGCCTTTAGTCCCCTCTCCCCAGGCCCTCAGCTCCCATCCAGTCTAGGAACTGGTCAGCATTAGCCAGTACGCTCTGGCTATCCCAGGGATGGTACCTGACAGTGCTGAACCACCCACTTCATACAGAGAAAAGACATCACTCAAAACAAGACAGACAATCTCAGTGAGAACAAAAGCATTTTTGCTCCACAACAGGGCAAATACAAGGAAGGATGTTCCTGATGACTGGGGGAGTTCAGAACCTGGGGGTCACAGTTTAAGGATAGGGGTAGGACTGAGATGAGGAGAAATGTCTTCACCCAGAGATGTGGAGCCTTAGATGTACAGCACGGAAACAGACCCTTCGGTCCAACTCATCCATACCGACCAGATATCCTAAATTAATCTAGTCCCATTTGTCAGCATTTGGCCCACATCCCTCTAAACCCTTCCTATCCATATAAAAGGCATCCAGATGCCTTTTAAATGTTGGCATTGTACCAACCTCCTCCACTTCCTCTGGCAGCGTGTCGCATACATGTGCCAGCCTCTGTGTAAAAAAGTTGCCTCTTAGTTCCCTTTTAAATCTTTCCCCTGTCACATTAAACCTATGCCCTCCAGTTGGAATTCTCTGCCAAAGAAAGAGGTCGAGGCCAAAACATTGAAATGTTTCTAAGAAGGAGCTGGATACAGTTCTTAGGGATAAAGGGAAGAAAGCAGGAACAGGAGACTGAGTTGGATGATCAGCCGTGATCGTGTTGAACAGCTTAAAAAGGGCTGAATTGATCAGAAGCTGGAGAGGTTATTTGTCCCTTTAATCCTGTTTCACCCTTCAAAAGATCATGATGCATCTATCTTAACACCACCCCCCCACCCCGATTCCCTCACTATCCCCATATCCCCATATCACTCAATTTCTTCAGCACTCCCAAGGCTATTCATCTCGGTCTTGAACATAAATGGCGAAGCATCATTGCTGCCCAGTGGAGAATTACAAATACCCACAATTCAATTTCATCCTAGTCTTAAATGACCAGAGTCTTGTGTAGATTTTGAGAGTTTTCAGGATAGCAGTGACACGATTTACTGGCCTGAAAGTTAGGAGCGAACCACTCAGGGAGCTGGGACTGACATCCTCTCACCTCAGGGGTTGACACCTCTAGTTGGACATCTCCTGGAGTCCTCATAGATGGTTCGTAGGGAAGGAGGCCAATTTGGTCCTTTGCATCCAGGCCAACACTCTAAGAGTGACTCAGCTACTGCCCACTTCCATCATGCTGCTGTCAAATTCCCTCATGAAAGCATTGACTGAATCTGCCTCCAGCCACACTCTTGGATCGGACTTTCTACATCCTAACCACTCACGCCATACAATGCTTGCTCCTCACCACACCTTTGGCTCTACATCCAAATGCTTTCTGTCTATGCCCGCTGGTCCTTGGCCTGTCCACCAATGGGAATGGCTATTCCCCACATGCCCTTCTACCCTGTCCACAGACCTCGTGATTTTGAGCACCTCAATCTAATCTCCTCTCAACCTTCTCCAAAATGAACAGGTCCAATACTTCCAGTCTATCTACATAACTGAAGTCACACAGCATGGGAGGCCTTCTTGAAATTCATAGAATCCCAACAGTGTGGAAAGAGGCCATTCAGCCCATTGAACCTCCAAAAGGCATCCCACCCAGACCCACTCCATATTTACCCTTGCTAACCCACTTGGCCTGCATATCCCTGGACACTATGGGGCAATTTAGCACAGCTAATCCACCCTAACCTACACATCTTTGGACTTTGGGAGGAAACCCATGCAGACAAGGGGAGAACATGCAAACTCCACACAAACAAACACCTGAGGCTGGGATTGAACCCAGGTCCCTGGTGCTGTGATGCAGCAGTGCTAACCACTGTGTCACCATGCCACCCATTCCTTTCAGTAACTTTGTCACAAGCCTCACTATCATCCTAAAGTGTGAGTGTACTGAATTAGCAATACACAGCTTGGAGGATGAACAGGTGTCTTGAGGCTTTTCCCAACATTCTAGCCTTAGGACGCTATGCCCCTATTTATAAACCCCATGGCTTTATTAACTGCTTTCTCCATCTCCTGGCCACTCTCAGCTACTTATGCACATACCCTCCCAGTCTCTGTTCCTGCAGCCTCCTTTATTATCATATCCTTCAGTGACATGCGCCTTTCCTTGGTCTGCCTACAAAAAACGTATCATTTTCCCTGTCCCTGCATTTAATCTCGATCACACGTCTTCACCTCCCTGCTCCCACACTCCTGCCATCAGTTTCACAATATACTTACTGTGTACTGCCTTTCCACAATCAGGAAGGGGTTTTTGTTAACCAGTCAAATACAACCTTTTATTAAAAACGAAAAATAAATCATCACTATTATTTCTTATATTGGAAACTAAGTGATTGAAAGAGTAACAATTTCAACGTCCCTATCATTGTTCTCTTGCACTTCAGGGTCTATCCTGGGGTGTTGGAAACCCCAGAGCCGGGCAATTTTTGGAAGGAGGAATGACAGAGAAAAGGAAGAGGCAATGGCTTTGAAAGCAGCAAAGAATGTAACAGGCCTCATGCTTCTTTCTTTTAAATTTAACCTATTTTTCCAATCAACCTGTTCAGAGGTGTCATTATACACCTTTGGACTTGAACCCAGGCCTCCCCATCCAGGGGTAGGGACTGTACCACAAGAAGGCCTCTTACTTCTCAGAAATGGGAGGCCAAATAACTTGTGATTCGATAGACCTTTACAGACACATGCCTCTTCTTTCCCTTTGGGGAGTAGTGGGGGGTTTAGTGGAAAGATTTTCAGGCTGATCAGAGCCTTCAGACCAAGTCAAACATATTCCTTCAGTCCTCTGGGAAGGAAACCTTGAATCCCAGTCCAGGGATTGCAATGCTACCCATGGCACTGCAACACTTGAACCAGGTCGTACAGGATTGATCCATACCTGCTTATCCAGGGATGGTGCAGCGGGTAGTGTCCCTGTCTCCGAGCTAGAGGTTCAAGTCCCACTCCAGGTATGGAAGGGCCAAGGGAAATGCATTTATAATGTGGCCAACCAGGTTAAACATTACTTAGAAAACCTTCCAACACACTGATGTGCGAGAAATTCTGGACAGCCCTATGATGGGCAGAGTGTGTCGGAACTGCTTATATCACTATCAATAGCTCCAGGCTGTAACATGCCTGTTGTAAAGGTATATGTATTCACAGTTGGACTCTCCAAGGGATCTGTAGTACAGCACATGGTCCAATCTTGCTTTAGCCAGACCAATGAAACAAGTGAGCCCATTACTGGGGGAGCACAACTTTGTTCATTAGAAGTGTCTGCTAAATGCAAGAGACATCAAATATTGGCATGGAGTACAATTGGATTTCCATTGTTCACACTGAGCAAGCTAACATTGGCTGAGCTAGATGCAGAGTGAAATTCCCCTCCTATTCTATCCCAATTTCACACCTCAAACCTCGCCTTCATAGAATGCCCCCTGCTCCCCAATATGACAGGGTCCCCATTTCCTACAGGTAGCGGCTCCAATTTAGGATTGCTAATTTAGTGTCAAATTCGGGGCATCCTTCTGAGCAGTGGGCTTGAATTGACAAAAGTAGGTCAAGATTCTCGCAGGCAGCACAGATATTTCTCTCCAGTAGATAGTGCTGGCTATAAAATTCAGAACCCAAGAATGAATCTATTACATTGAAGGCTTTTGTTAATGGAACTGGGTTGATTATTTTTCTTTTATCTCTTCCAGGGTGAATTAATCTGTTGCATCAAATATCATAAGATGTAGGAGCAGAAGGAGACCATTCAGCCCATGGAGTCTGTCCCACCATTCAATGAGACCATGGCTGATCTGATAATCCTCAACTCCATCTTCCTGCCTTTTCCCAATAATCCTCGATTCCTTTACTGATTAAAAAAAAATCTCTCACAGGCTGAAATATACTCACAATTCTCTGCGGTAGAGTTCCAGATTCACTTCCCTCTGGGAGAAGAAATTTCTCCTCATCTCGGTCTTAAATGGGTGACCCCTTAATCTGAGATGATGCCCCTCTGGTCCTAGACTCTCCCACAAGGAGATCCACATCCACATCTGCCCTGTCAAGTTCCAAAGAATCTTGTGGTTTTTAAATAAGGTTTCCTCTCATTTTTCTATTTTCCAATGAGTACAGGTCCAACCTACTCAACCTCTCCTCGTAAGACAGTCCCTCCCCCATACCCAGGATCAGCTGAGTGAAACTTCTCAGGAATCATACTGGCATTGGAGGCAGTCCTCAGATAAGGAGCCCAAAGCTGTGCTCTGGCTAGTGCCTTGTATAGTTTTAGCAAGACCTCCCTAATTTTATACTCTATTCCCTTTGGAAACAAAAAGAGACTGGAATTTGTCTATTTTGACACCCATCCTTGGGTGCTGTTAACCTTCCTTTGTTTTAGACCAGTTTGGACTTGAGTGAACACACAAGAACTCTGCCTCAAATCAAAATCAGCAACATTCATTTCAGTCTCTATGAGCCAGCAAACCTCTCTTCAGTTCGCTCTTCCAGCCTTGCACCCACCCGGTTCCCACTATGTGCTCAGCTATGTGAGCTCTTTACTCCTCTCCATTACTGTCGTGACGAATTTGCCTTCGCTCCCGGAGATCGTCTCGCCAGGTCTAGCAGCAAAAGAGGTGATAAACAGGTTTGAAGCACCATTAGTGGACGAGGAACCAGCTGGAGGGTTGCACAGCAGTTTGTACGTCGTTGGCAGTGAAACACAGAAAAGATCTTCAAATAAATAAAACTGCATAGAGGGTTGTTTTTCTCCCCCTTTAGGGGTAAAAGGTGTAGTCCAGCACTCAAGGAACTTTCAATTTAACTCTCCACATCGCAAGATGTGTCTGTGTTTATTAAAAATTCACCTCTTTGCTTGAATCTCCAGCTGTTGAAATTGCTTGTTAAGTAGCTTGACTGCTGCTGCGGTGCCATGCCCTTGGTAGATCCAGGTCTGATTAAGTGTTGTGTAGAAGCTTGGCATTAGGCTCCCCTTCGACATGGCCATCTTCAGTTAGGGGGCAACCACCCGACACTTAAACACTTGAGGCAATAATTCCCCACCGCTCCCCCGCCTCCCAACCATGAGGGAGGTGGACGAGAAGTTAAAGAAAGCAAAACGGATGGCCGGTGATGTGCTATAGGCTCCCACTTGGTTACTAAACACATCACTAAGCAAAAGCACCAACACATCATTCAGGCACTAATGAAGGAACTGATGTGCATTGCAGACACATTCAGCTTCACTTTGACAGAAGCAAATGGATTTCCTGCGACAAAAATAAAACTGGCAACTTCTTTTAAAAACCCAGTAATAATGCCTTTACATCACACGTTAACGATCAGTAGGATTTTTTTTTTTTAAATTCATACCCCCTCCCAAATGAAATGACAAGCTTTTATGGGTATCTTCAGCCAATCAAAATTCTTCCACAAATTGGTGATTTTTGGTTGAGGGCAGGGAAAGGAGCAGAGAGACACTGGTTGACAATAATAAAGACAAGCAAGCCCAGGATGGAGACACATGTATAAAAGCAGGATGAATCTTACATTGGCACCTTTGTTGCAGTGGGAATTTGGAATGTCTACCATAGCGACTGAAGCAAAGACTGTTTGTGGCTGAACTATAAATTACAGGACAAATTTAGGCCAATCAGCCCCTTCTAGTCTTTTGACTAGAGTGTGGCTGATCAGATTGCAGCCAGAACTCTGCATTCTGCCTGGCTCTGCTCTCTCCATTACCTCTCAACTCCCGATCTATCAAAAACAAAAACAAACTTTGAATAAACAAGAAACAGAACGTGCTGGAGAAACTCAGCAGGTCTGGCAGCATCTGTGGAGAGATATCAAGGGTTAATGTTTTGGGTCCTCAGAACAGTTCTGAGGAAGGGTCACTGGACCCAAAACGTCAACTCTGATATCTCTCCACAGATACTGTCAGACCTGCTGAGCTTTTCCCAGCGATTACTGTTCTTTTTCTACAGATATTGCCAGATCTGCTGAGCATTTCCAGCAATTTTTATTTTGGCCCTGATTCACAGCATCCATTACAGTTTCTGCATTGAGTCGTGAGTCTTGCAGGAGATCGGGCTATCACTGGCACAGGCCAGTGTTTGTTACTTTTCCCCAAATCCCTTAAACTGAGCTGCTTGCTCAGTTAAGCGTCAATCACGTGGCTGTAGTTCTGGAACCACATGTCAGCCCAACCAACTAAAGGGCATTACTTTTTATTTTAAAAATTCACTAATGGGAGTCACTGGCTGGGACACCATTTATTGCCTGTCCCTAGATGCCCTTAGTGAATCAGATGGGCTTTACTGTAATGTGGCACAATTATGGCACCATTGAATATATTTCAATTCTGGAGTTTCTTCATTTTAGTTTCACCAGCTAGCTCTGGTGAGATTGGGACCCGTGTCCTCACAGCATTCTGGATTACTGATTGGTCTACATTGGTCAATGAGAGATGGGTGTTGTCAAGTAGGAGTCACTTTGGACGCAGCCCCACCACAGACTAGATAGGCCAAACAGTGCCCTTTCTGGAAAGATTTATTCAAAGAAAGTAAAATGAAGTTATACATCTGCAAAGAAAGAAAAAGGGGAAGTTTCCCCTCGTCACCTACTCTTTCTGAGAAATAGGAAGTTTGATTTTAAAATGAAAGGTTACTGAGACTTGCGGGGCACCCACAAGTGTTTGGGAGCACAATCGGTTCTTATGAAAGTTTTGCCCACTTTGGCCATCGACAAGGCCTCCCGCCCAAGCTTAGGAGAGTTGCGGGAAAAATTGAAATTGGCTGAAAATGTTTGTTTGAACTTTGTACAGTTTGTTGCAACCTCTACACCATTGAAACATCTTAAACGGTTTAAATTCTCTGCAGTAGAGAAACACATTCATTTTCCATTTGCGTTTCTTCACTGTGATTCTTAAATCAGTTAAATAGTTATATACATATTTTTTAATCCATTCTCGGAATGTGGGGGCAACATCAGAGTTTTGTATATAAAGCCGGTCATTAATAGCGTGGGAGCGCGCATTTGACGAGCATCCAGGAGGGGTTTAAACCATGGAATTTAAGCATGGCTCAGCTGCAACAGGTACACTAAGAGTATTCATGAATAACCAAAGGGCATTGCTGTTGTCAACCAGATAGGATCTAAGATTTGAGGCTACGGCGCTGTGACGTTGCCATGTCAGCAGATTGATAACACTTACATTTAAATGGAGTGAACAGAAACTTAGTGCACACAGGATATTCACTGTGCTTAGACACAATAAGGGAAACAGCCTGTTAGAGAGGCTTTCCCTGTTACAAGTCCAGCGTGTGGAAATGAGATCACAGACTGTGGATTCCTAACCAAACTGGGAAAGGAACAAACAAATTAAACATTTGGAAAAATGCACTAGTCTCACAAGAAAGTTCCCATGAGTCAGGTGGATACCCATGGTAATACAGACTTGGTGGGACAAGTGTGGAAATCCCAAACTAGATGATAATCGGAAAAAAAATTGTCAGCTTTGACACTTAAGCAGATTACAAAAAATTGAAAGTATGCTTAAAAAAAAAATTTTTGCCCATTCTGTTGCCTTTTAATGGTTTTAGCGTGGGGATCTCCCCTGTGAAGACAGCCCAGGGGCTGCAGGTCTTGTAGCTGTAAGCTTCAGTGCTGAAAAGGGTCTACGTGGCTGTCACACAGCATTGGTCAAGTTTGAAACCATGTCTGATACTTCAGAGTTTTCACTGCATCACACTGTTAGTTCAAATGCAGCAGGAAGGCAACCTTGCGAGGGTGGTGGGTCAGAGATGGAAATGCCTCTCGCAAAATCCCAGTTTGGAAGACCTAGGTGGTGCAGAACCCTGTAAACTATCAGCCCCCACCCCGGAAAAAAAAACAACACAAAACAGGGCAGTGTTTGTGCATCAGACGATGAGGATTGCCTCAGAGCAGCAGACATCTAGTGCCCTCTCCTACACACTCCCTAACCCTTGTGGGGGTCCAGATGAGAAAACAGTTCATGGGACTTCCGTGCTAACTTAGGGGAGCAGATCTCCAAAATGGATTCTTTAATCAATATTCTTTAAATTGTTTATACTGCATGCAATGACTTTAGCACAGCAAGGGGTGGGGTAGTTACAGCAGAGGTGGAGGAGACAGACTGCGCAGCCAATTGCAAATTGTTCGCATGGAGCTTTAGGATTGTCCTCCAGTTGAATTGGACCAGGTCCAGAGAGGCTAAAGAAAGAAACAACATAGTGCAGGTGCCAAGGGGAACGGGAAGACAATAGAATGCCCACCTGCTTCCCACTATAAAAACCGAAATTCAGCAAAACCATAAAACATAGGGAATTGGTGATTGATGAGGCACTGAAGAATGGAATCTTGCTGTGCAGTGCCCTAGCACCTCCCAACCCACGTGGCTGGATTGCATCATTGGATAAAGTGCAGTAACCTAGGCGACACTCCACTGAATGACACCCATGTCCTTCCCGCCAGTGGAGATTAGATGGGTGTTGTCATGGAGAAAGGCAACATTGGTCACATGACTGCTGTGGCCACTGTACTTGTGACTTGGTGCCTGTAACACAAACAGGAAACAGTGACAGTCATTGAGACAATTTATTAGAATGCTTGCGTTTATAGATGCTAACTAATCTAGCTGTTCAGAGATGTTAAGATGCACCCCTTGGAGCGGGTGGGAATTGAACCCGTGCTGCCTGGCTCAGGCACAGGGACACTACCACAGCACCACAATGGTTCGTGTTTATCTACACAGTCATACAGCATGGAAACAGACCCTTCGGTCCAACCAGTCCATGCTGAACATAATCCCAAACCAGTTAGTTCCACCTGCCCCTTCCTAGCCCATATCCCTCCAAACCTTTTCTTATTCACATACTAATCCAAATGTCTTTAAAAACGTTTTAACTGTACCCGTATCCACCACTTCCTCCGGAAGTTCATTCCACACAAACCATTAAAAGGATTGCCCCTCGTGTCTTTTTTTAAAAAAATCTCTCCCATCACTTTAAAAATATGGCCCCCAGTCTTGAAATCCCCTGCCCTAGGGAAAAGACACCTTCCATTCACGTTGTCTTTACCCCTCATGATTTTATAAACCTGCAGAAGGTGAGCCCTCAGCCTTCTACACTCCAGTGAGGAATGTCCCAGCCTTTCTTTGTACCTCAAACCCTCCATAGCCGGTAACATCCTGGTACATCTCTCCTGAACCCTCTCCAGCTTAATAATATCCTTCCTATAACAAGGTGTCCAGAACTGGATCTTTGACCTTACTGTTCATTAGCCTCTCCCTAACACTAGCACAATCCAGATCTCCCAGCCCCAACAGGGCGATGTGGGTGGGTGACAAATTGAAAACAGTGTGGAAATTGATAACACACTTGCCTGACCAAAAGAAAATCTTGAGAAAGGAAACAAAGGCAGTTAAAATGAAGTGATGATGCAGATCATCCATGGCTCTACTGAATGGCAGAACAGGCCTGATGTTCTGATACAAACATAGAAAACAGGAGAAGGCCATTCAGCCCTTCGAGCCTGCTCCACCTTTCAATAGGATCATGGCTAATCATCCAACTCAGTCCCCTGTTCCTGCTTTCTCCCCCGTTACTTTTGATCCCTTTATGCCCAAGAACTTTATCCAGCTCCTTCTTGAAAACATTCAATGTTTTGGCCTCAACCGCTTTCTGTGGCAGAGAATTCCACAGGCTCCCCACTCTCCTGGTGAAAACATGTCTCGTCATCTCAGACCTACCCGTGACGTCCTCTGGTTCTGGACTCCCTGGTCATCAGAAACATCCTGCCTGTGTTTACCCTGTCTAATCCGGTTAGAATTTTAGGTTTCTATGAGATTTTATGGTCACGCGTACTCAAGTACAAGTGCAGTAAAAAAAGTGTATAATCTCAACAGACAAGGCACCATCTTAGGTACAAAGTACCTGGGAACAGAATCTTAAGAAGGTAGAAAGAAAAAAGTTAAACATTGCAGTGGTTTAGTACAATAAGTTGAAAATAAAGAAATAAAGCTGCAAGTTCAATCCTCTTCCTTTTTCTAAACTCCAGTGAAGAGAATCCTAACCAATTCAATCTCTTCATTAGGATAGTCCTGCTGTCCCAGGAATCACAATGGCTTCCTCAGGTGCCCTTTCAGGGTCTGCGTCAAACACTTTGGAATGTTTAATGAAGGATGTGACAGAAGTGTCCATTGTTTGAGAAAGAGCCTGTTGAGGGTGTAACAGTTATTCTGTTTCAGCATTGTCCCATACAATATACTGAAAAGAAGTGACGAGTTAAATCTGCTTGTGTGGTGATGGTTGACAAACAATGGTCAATACTCAAAACCTCAGTCCTAAATGTTTGGCCCCTTATCCAGAAATAGTATCCCCATGTTCTAGATCCCTCAGTCAAGTTTGACAGTGTAGTGGACTATCAGCCAGGGTTGTGAACAGAGTCAATAATTTATACTTATATAGCACATGATATCAGAGATAGAGGTGACCACAGGAATATTATGAGCAATGTATGACAATCAAGCCAGTGGTTGTTGGCAAGCTGGCTTAGGGCAGAGGAACATAGATGGACTTTCTTTCAGCTATATCTTTTAATTATTACACTGTTCAAAATGGTGCCAGGTTGTGGTGACAGTTGAAACTTTTCATTGTATTTATTGTGTTGTTCATTGTACAGGGCAAGGGACAATAAATCATTCAGCTGACAAAGAGGCAGCACTCCAAAGGCTTATGATTTTAAATAGACCTGTCGGACCTGGTGTCGTGTGATGTTTGACACTATTTGTAAAGGGTCATGAGCTCTGACTGAGCTTCAAGTCATCCAAGAAGTAGGTTTAAAAAAGGAGCATCTTTAAAAGTGGGAGCAATAAGATGGAAGCGGAAGGTTTGAGGAATGGAACTTAGGGCCACGTAGTTAAGAAAGGTACCACAGCCAATGGTTGAAGTGATTAAAATCAAAATGGCGGAGAGGCTAAAGGGATAGGAATTAAAAAGATCATGGACCTGGGAGTGTCATGTGGCTCGAGGTGTTTACAAAGATAGGGAAGAATGAGATTGTGAAAAAAAGATTTTTTTTTGTAAAAATTTTTAAAAAAGAACTAAATGAGACATTTCTTAACCCAGAGCAGTGTCAGTGTCAATCAGCAAGCAAGGGAAAACAGACAGAAAGAAAGAAGGACAGAAAGAAAGAAGGACAGAAAGAAAGAAGGACAGAAAGAAAAACGAAAAGAAAAGGAAGAAAAAAAGAAAGGAAAAAAAGAAAAGAAAGAAAGAGTGCAGAGGCTGCAGAGTTTGGCATGACTGAGTTTACAGAGGGTAGGGGCTGCGTAGCAAGCCAGACGTGCTTTGGAATAGTTGAGTCCAGAGATTACTCAGACACGAATGATGGCTTCAAAACAGCCAACAAGCCAAGATGGCAGGAAACTTGGGAGGCTGCATGATGGTCTGGTCAGAAGCTCGGAGGTTGCAACCATGCACAGTCTGGCTGAGCGTCAGCCAGTTGTCTGGGACGGAGTCAGTAGCTAGGGATTGAAAGCAATGGCTGTAATCTTCCACGTTTGACTGGAGGAAAGACGTCTGCTCAGCCAGAGACCAGCATGCAGCCAGATACCTCAACAACAGAGCTCGAAGTGAAAATCTGACTCCATGGACTGCTATCAGACTGTCCAGAGGGTGGTAGAAGTAAGGAGATTATAATCACAACGTTAAAAA